TATTTCATAAATAAAAATTTAAAAATTTTTAATAAAAATTTGATTTTGGAAATTTCAAACTTATTTTCTTATTTTTGAAATAGGCTAAACTTATTCTCTTGAATATGTAATCTTTCCTTAATTTATTGGAGAATATGTAGTTGAAAATGAGTGAAAATATGAATTTTCAGAAAAAATGGGCCCAAACATCCTCTAATGTACTTTTTCCTTGGGCTATGCTTATGGACAATCCGCACCAAGTATGCATTGAATAGAAACACAAGCAGCTTGTAAATCATTTTCATGTAAAAAATTAAGGGCACATTCGTTACATAATGTTGCATTAGGGTTGATATGATTCACTCCAATTGAATTGAGATCAATAGAATTAAAATTCTCCAAATATCCCGTTGAAAACACCAAAAATATTTATAGGGAAAATTGAGCATATAAATACGATTAATTTTGAGTAAATTTGTCCTCGTTAATTTCTTCTTGTTCTCTCCTTCACAGTCTTAATAATATAAATGAAGTCCATTATCATTTAATATAAAATTAAGAATTTTGTTCGAGATGTACATAATCGTTCCACGTGGAATTGGAATAATTCGATCGCATCTACTAGGAGTAGCCTTTTTAAAATATTAAAAATAGAAGGCAGATATTATTGCAAGCAGTAAATGTAGGTATTTTGGGCTAACAATTTTGTTACATGTACATTAAGTTTAATATTATGTGAATTAACAATTTTTTGTACGTTGATTTTAACTACACTTTTCAACCAATGACCAAATTTCGTACACATAGGGAGATGCCAACAAGGAATGTACAAGAAACATAATTCTCGTGCTAATGCATGATTTTTCTCATTTTTTTAATGCAGAAAACTCGACCGATTAGTAAAAGAGTTTGTCAGTAGTAAAAAAAAAAAACTCGACTCACTCCATTCACCAATAATTTGACAATAAGACTAAAGATTTGCTAATTTAAATCGACATATAAATTCTTCGTTATTATCAAACCGAGCAAGCTAGCCTTTTTATAATAATTAGCCCTTGTTTGTGTTAAGATTTGATGTTTCATTTTTAAAAAGGTCAACCTTGTTAAGAGGAGTAGTACAAATCCTTGTAAGTTAGTCTATATTTTTATCTCTATTCGATGTGGGAATTCATTCCTTAACACGCAATTGCAAGATAGTGGCTCGTTTGAGCAGATCAATTTTGAAATTCACGTGCTCATTTTTTGAGTCTCAGTTAGATAGAATTGCTCGTTGGAGTTTAATGAGTTCTGATATCATATTAAGATTTGATTTAAAATGTCAACTTTATTAAGACGAGTAATATAAACCATTATAAATTGGTCTATATTTTCATCTTTATTCGATGTGAGATTTCATCCCTCAACATATTCCCTCAAGATAGTGGTTCGTTTGAGCAAACCATCTTGAAATCAACGTGTTCATTTTTTAAGTCTTAATCGAATTGAATTGCTTGTTGGAGTTTTAATGAGCTCTGATACCATAATAAGATTTGTGATTCAATCTTAAAATATCAATTTTATTAAGAGGAGTAACTCAAACCCTATAAACTAATCTATGTTTTCATCTCTATTCGATATGGAATTTTATCCCTTAATAGTTTGAACCCCATCATTTGGAATTAATAATTTTTGGAAGAGTGATTTTTTGGATAATGTGTGGTTAAAAAGTAAGAAAAAAATTTAAATTTACAAGCAAAATATTTTACTGTGTGAATGTATGATTGAAAATTAGTTTTGAAAAAAATGAGTTTTGAGAATATGGGGATCAAATAAGGCTTAATAATTTATAAAATTTTGGAGAATATAGCGCCTGCTTGGCTCCCATTATTTCTCATTATAATGAGAGGAATAATAATTTTTGGAAAATGTGTAGAGGAAAAAGAAGATTTTTTTGAATTTATGTATAATATTATTTTATTGAAAAATAGTGATTTATAAGATGAGAGAGAAATATGAGGGCAAACGGGGGCATAATTTTTTTGAAAGAACTAGAAGAGAAATAATTGGTCTAGGCTGACGAGGGTCAAACAACAATGGTCAATGTAAACAGTTGTCGCGTTCACAGTACATATTTACAATTTGGTGTGGCCCTTTGACATTTCTAAACACGCTTATGGTATCCTATTTGCTTAATCGTCAAGGAACGGAAAAGTCAAAATTTAAGAATAATATAACGCGACAGGACTGTGATATTTCTGCCGTGAAAGACGAGAATGATTGTACGGTAGACGCGAGGAATAATGGTCAATGAATGGTAGGTAAACCATCTTGATATATAACTTAGAGAAATTTGCGGTGTGGTCTCCAAACTTTATAATTTGGATAACTATTTCTTTTAGGAAAAAAAAAATGTTTTGATTTTGAGATCTTCAAATTTCAATATAGGTACAAGTGGGTCCTTTTCGGTGAGACTGTTAATTTTTATTTTTTAAAAAGTCACACATAGACTTCTCTTTTAAGAGTACTTTAATCAATCACTTACATATCTTTGAAAACAAATTGAAAAAGGTAAAGGGCCTGTTTGATACGGTTCAAAATTCAATTAAAATTGAAAATATAGTCGTTATTGGGCCTCACTCATCTAATAAAAGTCAACAATAACGGCTAATTTTTCAATTTTAATTCGATTTTAATCTCTACCAAACACCATCAAAATAGAAATAGATGAAGAAAATGAAAAAATATTCAATCCCAAGGGCTTTTTTACGTCGATATAAATTTTGTGAAAATTGTTTTTTTTTTTTAAGAATGCGTGATTGTAAAATAGAAAAAATAAGTAAGTTCATGTGTAATATTATTTTGTTGAAAGAATACAATTGAAAATAAATTTTTAAAAAAAAGTTGTAAAGAATCCGTTCCAAACAAGAGTCAAGTTTTTGACGTTTTCTGTCCAAAAGGACCTTATTGCACTTAAATTGAAAGTTCTGATTATCTTAAAATCACAAATAATTGAATAGTACTTTGGGAAAAAAATATATTCGGAGACCGTGGTTGCAAATTTCCAACAAATTATAGCCCGTCCTTGACAAATGTTAAGAGTAAAGACTGTCCCTCTAGCATTGAAAAATTTCTAGAATTGCGCACAGTAAAAGTTGAAGCTTTAGGCTGCATTCACCAAAAACCCACAAAAAGCAAAATCTCTTCATTCTTCAAAATATATACAGTCATAAATATTATACATATATTCTCGTATTCAGTATATCCCAATAGACTAAACTGGACGGTGGGTTGGTTCTGACAGGTAATCTTCTAAGGATCCTAACTTTTTTTGCTTTGGAATTTTCTTTGCCTGAATTTGATTCCTTTAATTCTCGATCCTTGTGATTCTGTGAACTGCTTCTCTTATTTGCTGGGAAGACTCGATCTTTAAGGTTTTCTTGGTTATCCCTTTTTTTTTTTTGGCAATTAATTTCTTGGTGTTTGATTTTGGAATTTGTAGCTGGATTTTCTTTATTTTTTTGGAGATTGGAATTGGATTTTGTGGCTACTGCCTACTCATTGTTATGATTTTTTTCATTCATTTGACGATTTTTATTAGTTTCAATTATTAGTGGTTCACATTTATTGCTAAAAGAAAAGAATTATAGCTTGGTTTCTTAATTATAAGTTTTGCTTTTACCTCCTACTTTACTGCAGTTGCGGCTTGATTATCATAGACAATTCTTGATTATACTGTTGTGTATATTTGAGCATAAAATTATCAGTTTCTTTCTGGGTTTTCCTATTGTTGTTTAGTTTGTTTCTGCATATGTATGCGCGGTAGAATGAATCAGATCTATCGACGCATGTCTTGTACGTGCAATGGGTGTGCCTGTTCTTCAATAAATGTTTTTGTTTGGATTTCTTTGCTATGCTGTTAGTCTGTATTCTGTAGGTGCCTGAGTTATTTAATAGTCGATGTGGATTGATTGTCTCGAGTTATTGTTTGTTACAGGAAGATAAAGAAACCTGCATTAGAAAATAGACAAATATGGCTAATGCGGCTGCTATTGCTGAGAGGGCAACTAGTGATATGTTGATTGGTCCAGACTGGGCAGTGAACTTAGAGCTATGCGACGTCATAAATATGGATCCTGGGTATCATTTCATCACTTTTCCTTTTCCAAATGCAAATTTATTTTTCCAGTGTAACTTTTACTTGAATAGATTTGTATATATTTTCCTTTTTGGCTCTTGTTTTTTGAGTCTCCATTCACATAATTGATTTTGCAGTTTTATTGGCATATTGAATGTTAGGGTCATGTTATACCAAGGAACGGCTAGAGAATTTTTCATTTGTGACCTGAAATTTTATTTAAATACGATGAGCATGATTGGGTAAGGTTAAAAATCAGTGACTTCTTTTTTCCCAACATTGTTTGGGTAAGCTCCCTTTTTTCTCATTTTTAATTAAACAAAATTTAAGTAGCTTAAAATAAACTCTTACGTTATTGTAAGAGACATACTTATTTTCAATTTTGCTCAATTAAATTTTGTACTTATTTTATACTTGTTTACTTACAATAGACTTATAAGTGAACCTTTTTAAGCTTAGCCATCTACTTGTTTTTCTCTCTTGACAAGTTTTGGCAATAGTTGATCCCTTACATGCATTGTAAATGGAGGAATGAGTAGCCAGAATGTGATTTTAGGTAGGGTCACTGAATAATAACACATGGATATCCATCTCGCTCAGTATTAATAGATATTTTCTTGATTAAACAAGGAAATGTATGTATCATGCTCCAATGAGGTTTTCTTTTCCCTTACAAAATTTTGAGTTCCAAGTGTAGAATTTGGACTTCTGGAAAGTGTGAAACTATGATGATTGAATGTGGTTGACACGATGTTACGTGTAATGGGACCTTTAGGGGCAATAGCGCATGCAAACGTGCACGTACAACCCATGATCTGATCTGGATGCTCGAAATTTTGAAGGATTAATAAACCCTGCATGAACTGAACACTTATTAGGACTAATAGTATAGCATTTCTACTGCTGACATTTATCTCGTTCTCATGCAAACTTGAATCCGGATCTGATTTTGTATTTGTAGTTTTCCTTAATGTTCTATTGCAAAGGTTGAAGTAGATGATGTTATTTTTCTTGGTATTATGAAATTGAAATCACAGGCAAGCAAAGGGTGCACTGAAGATACTCAAGAAAAGATTGGGAAGTAAAAACCCTAAGATACAGCTCCTTGCATTGTTTGTGAGTATTTTTTTCTTTTCCCTTGTCTCTTAGTCTGGGACATGGCCTCTTTGATACATTTACAAACATGATAAATTTCTGTAACCTGATAAATCTAAAGCATTAATTTGTACACAGCATATTGTCCAAGATTTACTATGTAGACTTAGGGAAGTTGTACTAAAATGTTGGCGGCCGTATTGGTCAAAATTTACAAATATGTTTCATTCTAGGTTCTGGAGACTCTTACAAAAAATTGTGGGGAGAATCTGTTTCAGCAGATTGTTGAGCGGGATATTCTACACGACATGGTCAAAATTGTAAAGAAGAAGGTGGTGATAGTCTATTTGCTCATGATATCTTTAGTTTTTACCCTGTGAAATCCTAATGTACCTTTTATATATGCTTTCAATTTAACTTTTGCAGCCTGATTTAAATGTGAGGGAGAAAATCTTAATCTTAATAGACACTTGGCAAGAAGCATTTGGGGGACCCAGGGGAAGGTTTCCCCAATACCATGCTGCATATAATGAACTGAAGGTAATTTACATGTCTTTTTGCATTGTATATGTTAGCTCAATTCTAATGAAGTTCATTTAACTCTTTGCAGTGGTATCTAATCACATTTTGTGTGTTATACTGAGCTTACATGCCGCTATCTCTATTTGCTCAAAGTAGATTGGCTTTTACTTTCAACCTTCTGTTATTTCATTATTATTAGCTCATGCTGTTAATACTATTCCTTGATATTATATTCCTATTGATAGAATATCGTCAAAAGGTGACATGTCTACAGGAGAAATATTGTTTTCTACTTTACAATTACAGTAGCATCAGTTTGTGTTTTAAGCTTTGTAAAACAGATGATAGATAAATTCCATATAAAAAGAACTGTTAAACGACCTCTACTACCTGCTCTCTCTCTCTCTCTCTCTCTCTCTCTCTCTCTCTCTCTCTCATGTGAATGCTTTTATTGTGTGTCGAGGTAGGTTTTTTCATCTATCTGTGGATACATGCATCCTAGTTTTTATTGGCTTCTGGCATCTTTTCCTTGGTAATTGAGTACACAAATAACTTGAGTTTGAAAAGAAGAAGTTGGGGTGGAAGTTTTTGTTTTACGTAGTGTACAAAGTCGTTGAGTTCTTACAATATTGTTATCTCAATTTGGGGAAAACTTTTTCGTAAACAAAATATTTATTCAAGTAACTAGAGGGATCTGTATGGAAAACAACCTTTTAAGATGCGTACAAGCTCTTAAAAGCAGATTATATTAATTCAAATATATTGCCTTCTTTCTCTATTCTTAAAGCTTATGTTGAATGTCAAGGCAGTTTTTTTCAGCTATCTGTGGATACATGAATCTCTTTGAGTTATGCATTGAGATTTATCTCCTACTGTCTAAAAATATGAAGTTAATTTGAAAATGCATACAGGATAAATGCTCACTTGTTGCAGCCCAGATACAGTTTTTCCGTAGATATAATAAGAAAACTGTTATTAAAGTAAATATATATGGGCACAGCTCTATGAGCTTATTTGTGTGCAATGGCTACATATATTAGTCTGGACGTACTATTGTACTTGATAAGTTGTGAACATTCTTGTGCTTGCATGTGTACTGTTGGGCGATTGGTGTAATTATGCATCAGAAAAATGATTTGGCTGGAAGCTTATTTCATTTTTAAAATGCTATCGCATATGTAGAATTTTTATTCTGGAATCGAGCATAATGCTACCAGATACAAGATAATATAGTCAATTTTCACAACCTCTAGAAAATAATTTACATCGAAGCAAAGAAATACATACAGGATCATCTGTATGCCTTTTTGTTGTGTATGTGAGGGTGAGGGAGGGAGACTGGGGAGCTTTCTGATTGAGTAATTTTTCTTTCTTTTGCAGAACTCTTATGCATGTATTATTAGACTATACTAGATGTTACAATGAACAAGATTTTAGTTTGTTTTTCTTTCTTAATGCCAGTGACTTTTGCTTTGCCAGTTCACCGACTCTTAACTTTGCATGTAACAGTTGGTCTCTGCAGCGTGTCGGTTTACATTCTAATTTTCTCATGCTTTTGTATTTTGCAGCATGACTTATATACGAGTACGCTTATGTCTCTCTCATGTTTATAAAGTGTTAATAAACACACAATCCACCTTTTATACAAAAAATTTGAGGAATCCACTCACTAGTACTACACACTTATCCATTAAAGTTCAAGAACTCACTTGGGAGCTTTTATAATGACAGTCTGCTGGTGTAGAATTCCCACCTCGAGACGAAAACAGTGAACAGCTATTCGCCCCACTACAAACACATCCAGTAGAGTATTCTGCTTCTGCATATGAGGAAGCTGCTGCTTCTGCATATGAGGAAGCTGCTGTCCAGGCCTCTCTTCAGTCTGATTCCTCTGGACTCAGGTATATCCTTTTCCGTTAATTTGTGCATTGCATCGTTCACGAAGCTTTATACACATGTATAAAAGGGTTTCATTCTTATCCTGATATTTATTTGTAAACTGAAAAGTGCTTTTAACTTTCTCCGACTGCCAGTGTTGAATATTTGGTCTTAACAAGTGGAGAGTTTAGTGGGAATGATTGGTTTAAACTTTATATGACAACACATTGGCTAAATAATTTATTTAGATCTTTGTTTCCCAACGTGTTTGGATGACTGACATTTAAGTAAAACAAGTTACTTAAAGCAAGTGTTAACTTTCTGTCCAAATAAATAACTGCATGCAACATGTCTGGCTAAGTTTAAGAGTTACTTTAACTTCACTGAGAAGTATATCACTATCTACTTTTCAAAAGATTTACTTTTTAATAACATTTACGCTTAGCCAAACCTCCTCTCTTTTTCCAACTTAACCATAATTTTTTTTATTTTTTGAAACTTATTTACTTGTTGGTAAATTTTTAAAGTGTAGCAAAACATGCATCAAGTTTGCTTCACCTTAGGATTGAAAAGCATAACAATTTTTACAAGAACTTTGATGGGGTTGGTTTAAGTACATTCAACAAATTGTTCTGTCCTATGCTATAGTTTTTCACTGGACCATTTTCTCAGTTTAAACAATAAATGCTTAAGAAGTTGTAGCCCTCATAAGGGAACCAAATGGATAGTTCCAGTAGTTAGTATTGCCGGTAATGCTAAATACTTCTTTTCCAAGTACTTGAGTTATTAAGCTCACGAATACCATATTCACATGGATTGCAGTCCTTAATTTTAATAGATTATTTTTTCTGATGCAGCTTGCCAGAAATTCAAAATGCTGAGGGACTAGTGGATGTTTTGATGGAAATGCTTCGTGCCTTGGATCCAAAGAATCCTCAGGTTATAAATTCTTTTATATTTTGTGTTGTCTTTTTTCTCTTTGTAAGATCGAATACTGTTCATTGCTTTATTCCTTCAGTGTTACAAAAGGGTTAAGAACAATGTTAATCCCTCAACTTATAGTATCGTTTCACTTTGGTCACCAAACTTTCTTTATTCCACATTAGACACTGAACTTCCATTTTTGTATAAATTTAATCACTCCATCTACCTATGTTTAATTAATAGAATGCTTACGTGGTGGCCATGGAAGTAGTGGCGAGGGGAAGGGGGGCTGTAAGGGATTGGGGAAGAAGATTAAGATTCTGATTCTATTCTTCTTGTTACTTTGGGAAAACGCATAACAAGACAAAGTTTTGTCCAGCTGGAAGGAAAAAAACAATGCACTTAATGATTTTTCTTGCTATTGATTTTTTTTACTAGCCGTATCATTATTTTCTATTAATTTTATAGCCCTCCGCAGCAAATCATTTTTATGCTATATGAGCACAAACAATAACCATTTATTTATGTTGGTCTGGAGAAAGAGAGGCATTATGCTTAAATTGAAACAGAAAAAGTAAAACAAGGAAAACCAAAGTGAAAAAAAGCAATTAGTTGGGTGACTTAACATTGTTTTTAAACCCTTACAAAATTGTATCTGTCACTGCCAAAAATATTTTTTCCCTGGAAGACAACCTTCTCTCCCTAGGCATTTCTTTTTTCTGATAACCGAATATTGTCAACTATTACACCATGGATTTGAATGCTTTGACTACTACTAGAACTGTAGTAAACATATCCGTTTTTGTGCCTATGCGGGATTAATGTCATTATAAATATTATGTATTTCTACAAGTACTTAAATAATAGTTTTGCAGTGCCTGATATGCCTATAAACACCCCATCCTGATGCAGAATGACGTAGGATTGTACAAAGGAAATCTCTATGTTGAAGTCAGGGGCTGTTTGGAATTATCTGATTGGGACAATCTTAATTAAGAACCAATGAGTTAAGAATACCTAATAGAGTTAGCAACTTAGCTTGTCTTCTTAGCTACTAACAATTATTTCTTGAAAATGGTATAACCTATAAGTAGTATGTGTTGTGTGAACGTATTTGGAAATTGATATTCTCTATTGGGATTGATGAAGAAGTGGGGTTCTTTCTTAAGGTACTATGCTAGATTTCTCTTGTGATTTTTCTGTGGAGAGTAACCGTCTTGATGCAGATTAGATTTTGTTATAAATAAGTTGAAAGCACAGATCTCTTGTAAGAATAATGCTATTTTTGCTGTAGATTATTCATATTTTTGGTTCATTAACATTCAAGCTTTCTTTGGGAAGAACAATATTTCTGCTGTAGACTATTCATATTTACTGTTTGTTAATCTTCTGGATTTGTAATCAGGGTGTAAAGGACGAGGTGATCACTGACCTTGTTGAACAGTGCCGTTCATACCAAAAGCAAGTCACTGTTCTCGTGAATAATACTGTGTAAGAATATAGCTTATCTTTTTTTTTTGGTAATTTTGAGTTTAATTAAGTTTCTGAGAGTAATTGCCACTTTTCTTTTCAGAGACGAGGATCTTCTATGCAAGGGATTAGCACTGAATGATAATCTGCAGCGCGTTCTAAGCAAACATGATGAAATTGCCAGAGGAACCGCGGCAGTTGCATTAGGGACAACAGAAACTCCAGCTGCACCTCTTATGAATGTCAATCACGAGGATGATGAGTCGGAAGAGGATTTTGCTCAGTTAGCACACAGGTTCACTTAATTAACTACTTTCTTGTTTGAATTCTTTTTTGTCGTACTTAGTGCATTCTACAAGGGCTGCTTCATGAATATGCAAATATCGATGACTATGAAATAAAAGCACATATTAGATTTTCCTCTTTGGACTGGGGATCGAGGGAAACATTAGTTTTAGGACAAACCTTTCTTTTGTTATTAGCTCTTTTCTTTCACAATTACAGAGTAAAGAGCTTAATTATAACGGAATTTCTAAAATATCATAACCAATCAAAATAAAAATTCTAATCAATCAAAATTATCTAATCCTAGTTAAATCAACTCTATTCTAGAAGAAACAGGATTAAAAGTAGAAACATTAGCATGTACGTAGAATTTGATGCCTTGGTGTTGTCTCAACGTTTTCTGTATCTTATCAACATAATGTTAGACAGTATTTCTTCATTAACCTTTCTTGCACGGCGTATTGATGTTATATTACTGTATTCATTGCAGATCATCAAGAGATACGTTGCAAGGACCATCACAGAAGCCCATTGCTGGCAAGAGTGAACCTACTTGGACCAAACCAATTCTTCCGCCACCATCATTAACTAAACCTTCTAGCTCTGACTCTGGTACGGTGGATTATCTTAGTGGGGATTTTTATGAATCAGAACGATCTTCGAGAAGATCAGGATCAACTTCGATTGCTGCTCGATCTCAGACAAAGGACCGAAACTCAACCCCTAATGTGAACCCGAAGTTGTCCGACTCCCCTCCAGATGATTTGTTAAATCCGACAGCTTCAATTTTTACTCCAGAATCCTCATATGCCAAACCTGCTCCAAAAAGCAAATCTTCTGACGAGTTGCCTCCGGCTCCTTGGGATGTTCCTGTCTCCAGCCCACTCCCGCCTCCACCTTCACGGTATAACCAGAGGCAACAATTTTTCAAGCAAAACTCTTATGGCCGTGATCTCTCTCACTCGAGTAGCGAATCTGGTGGTTCTTATGACAGCTTAGTCGGGCAAACTCAGAATCTCTCCATCAAATCGCCAGCCACTACCCGGCAAGAAAATTCTACTGAAGATGCACTCTTCAAAGATCTGGTTGATTTTGCAAAAGCCAAGTCCTCATCTCCTAAACCCAATAGGTCCTTTTAACTGATATTAATAAGTACGAACTATTTGGATGGTACAGAGTGACCATTGATTGATCAATATAGCCTTCTTTTTCTGAAAATTACCGGGATCTTCATATAAAGATTCATGGAAACTTGGTCTGTTTATAAGTAGAGCAATATATGAGTACTGTGTTTTGATGATTTGGAGCCTCAGGCCTTGTGTATATAGCTGGTAACGTTGTAGCTGATCGGACTACTTCTTGGATATGATTATTTCTATGTATATTGTCTTATTTTTAGGCAGCACAACTGGCTTATTTTATTTCCAGTACATTGAGGGTGGATTGCATGAATCTTTTTTTTATCTACTTCTGCTGATTGAAGCTTCGCCAATACATAACTATGTTGTATGGTACACTTGGCATGACCAATAATGTTCATGACCAGTGTGGACTTCCAGTTCCAGCTCAGCTACTCAATAGCAGATGGGCCTCGGTATCAAATTTTAATATCAAGATAATGAATAATATTACTTGTATATAATGGTTTTACATACAGATACGGTGTCAAAAAGTGTGAAAGAATTTTTTTTTTTTTTTAAGAAATTTTGACCCAATCATTTATCTTCACATCATGTATACGTGAATCATTATGTACATGGATATAATCATATGATTCAATAGGCAACATGTCCTAATTAGTAGGGTTAGTCACAATAGAAAACGACCGCTAATACTGTAATACATTGTAGGCCAAGGAGCAAAAGGAGTTGAAGAAAGAATTGCAGAATGTTCCCAAAAATAATTAGGGATGATCAACGAGGAAGGCTTCATTAAAGTTCAGCAACTGATTTGAAAAAGATCCAACTAAATATTCAGTACAAAATTGATATTTTAAAGTCTGCAAATTAAGAAAAACACACTGTTGAGTAATATATATAGCATAATAAGGAATCCTATAGCATAACAACATACTCCAAAACCTATCTCAAGCAGAGTTTTAGTATGTTCATCAAATCTGAATATCAAAGTTCAATACCCAATCATTCTTCAACAATAAGCTAGAATCCAGCATGCATTGTATGTATACAACCAAAGGCAGAAACCAAGTCCAGATTCAATATTACTATAACATCGAAATCGACACAACAAAGTAATCATAGACTTTATGAGGAAACCGAAACTGAAACAACCAAGAATATACAGCAAGTTCTAAATACATAAAGTGACAGAAACATTTAAGGTATAAATTGGTCAGAAGACTCCCCTATAGCCTGTGCAGCTCCTTCCCGTTCTCGAGCCCTAGAGCACCCCTTTCTCTGCGATGGTAGAAATATATAGGCTCAGGAACAGTTCCCTTTTCCATGCTTGCAACCCGCCATCCAGAGAAGAGAGAGATCAACAGAAAACCCAAGGTAAGGAATCGATTTGGTCATCGATCAAAGATCTCCCAAATGGCCCTGATTCTACCGTAAAGACTTAGAGGAAGATGCCAATAATCTAGCCAGTATTTCAGGCCTAGAAGCCCCAAGGTATCCCACCCTAAGTCACGGTTCTAACCCTCACAGTGAACCCCAAGAAGAGAAGAAACAGAGAGCCCTCAATGTCGAGCAGAAGAGAGAAAGAAAAAGAAGAGGAGTGAGTCATGTTGAGGAAGCCAATGTTAAATCAAGAAAATATCAAGCCAAGAATCAAGCCCAGCCGTGGATTAAAATCCAAGGGCCAAAAGTGCTCCAAGTAAACACCATCCGGGTCAACAAACGTGGGCTAAGGAACTGGCCCAACATGTTAGGAGAACCACACATAAGGCCCAATAACTTACACACACACTTCCTAGGATTCTGAAAACATCATCATATTCTTAAACTCCTCGAAATCAAGAAATCCGTCGGAGTTTGTATCATACAGATTGATGATACTTCTACAATCCTGGCTGCTGCAGTGCTCATCCCATAACCCTAATCTTGACAATGCATTTTGAAGCTCCTCACTCGAAATCAAACCATCACCATTTGAGTCAAAAACCTCGAATGCTTTATGCAGATCGTTGTCAATTAAGCTATCGCGTTTGATGTCATCCGTGTTGATAATCGCATAGTAAAAGAACATGAAATCGATGAAATCAAGAGTCGTTTTTCCCAGCAATAACTCCAGCTCATCTTCTCTGCATGTATGGATACCTATTCTTTGAAGAAGCCACATAAGCTCATCGATACTCACCCTTCCATCACCATTTTTGTCGAGTTTATTGAAAATTCGTTGCAAGTGGCTGGTACTTAGAGCAAACATGTCGTCTTACCGCATTTCTTGCTGTCGCGTTTGCGTTTTTGTGCAGCCTACCTTAAGGCAAACAAGTCAAGTTCTGTATGCTTGGAGTTGCTGCATTCATTAATATATAACAGGTGAAAGATTGTCCTATTCAATTACTGAGAAAAAAAATCTGAGGTTGTCTTTTATGCATGGAATATCCAAATCATTTTCTTCTTAACTTGTGGTTTAAATTGTGGGAAGAACATTGTAGGAAGTTTCTTGACAAAAAGGAACGAAGTCATTGACATTGTTATATGAAAAAGACCTGTGTGATTCAGATTATAGAACGAAATTTGTAGGAAGTTTCTTGTCCAAAAACGAACAAATTTCAGCATTCTCCCAATTCTGCTCTGAAATGGAGTGAAATAATTTTTTGTACATGAAATCATAGATTTCTCTGGATTTTTCCTTTGTCTTTATCGAATTCAACCACAAATCTAGCCATCACCGTCGAACTGGTACTTTCTGGAATCACTCGTCAAGTCTTTTTTACATTTTCCGAAAAATCAATAAAGAAGTACTCACCCATCGCATACACTTCCTTTCATTTTTGTTTGTCCCAAATTATAGGTCAATTTTCTTTAGTGTAGAGTTGGTTTCTTAATTTTTTTAATGCTTCTATTTAATATGTCTTGTTATCAAAATTATTCCTATTGAAACCATTATTTAATGTAAGTAAAATTTATGTTTTCAAGTATATTAATTACATTTTCTTGATCTTTGTGAAAAACAGAAACAAGCCTATCTTTATGGGATAGAAGGGGTAAAATACTTGTGTGACCTCCGGTGCTTAGGCTTGATGTTCGTGCAAAACCCGCAATCGTACGAGATAGTTGACAAGTAATAGAATTGATGAGTTAAGAGTATTATCCCACAAGGAATAAATTCAATTCAAGTTTATTAATTTTTTATGAGATTCGAATTATATAAACAAAAGAGAGTTTGATTTTATTTTATATTTAATTAATCTAAGAAAGCTGTAAAAATGTGATTTTTATCAATTTATGAATGATTGTATTGGATCTCGAAACCGCCTATTGCTATCTATTTCAATTCTTGATTTGTAATCTAGTTCCGTTCATATGTTCTTGACAATCGTTAAAACTATGATATATAATTTTCTTTTCCAAGACAAATTAATATATTCTAACCACGACACGAATCTATTCCTAACCCGAATTCGAATGATTAGAATGCATTAAAGTTTAGATTATCTATATGATTGCATATGTAATAAATGTTATTTCTAACATCTATTGTACATATGTTAATTTTGCCGCATTCTAAACTTATTGTGAGTTTCCTAACACTACAATAAGCAACTTATTATCTAATTGGTGGCCAATCAATTAAAAAATGCAATGTGTATGCAAAATTAATTAAGAAACACAAGAAATAAACTAAATTACTAGTCTTGAATTAAAACAAATAAACAATAGGGTTCATCTTCATCCAATATAAATATGGATCTAGCCTAACATGTTGATATATAAATTACAAGAAGAATAATAGAAAAATATCACCCCGATCATTAAAATAAATCAAAAGATGTTGATCTTCACGCCTAAGATTGAATTCTTCAAAATCTTGATGTAATTGACATTCAATTCTTTGTTATGGTTTGATCTCCTCTTTCAAAATATAGCAATTGACATCTTCTTCTTAATGAATTTGATGAAACTATGGTGTATGAAGAGGCAAAAGAGATATTTTTTTTTTATGTGTAGCCCTCGTTCTCTATTTATAAGAGTCAGAAAATAAGTCGCGTCCAATTTTGTTTCCAAAAGAGATTGAATCGCGAAAGGAAACTAAAGATTCATCTGCGAAAAAAGTCTGTGAGTGCGCGCGCGCCATAGAACCAAATGGCTCTGGGTTGTGGAAAATAGTGATGTGCACGCGCGCCATGAATTGCCGCGCGCGCACAGGTTCGTCTATGAAGAGTTTTCGATATTTTGATCATAACTTTCTCCACATGTATCTGATTGAGTTGATTGAAAATGTGTTGGAAAGATAATTCAAATGGCTACAATTCTTCTAGAAATACAAATTTTCCAATTCGAACGGTTCTATCCGAAAAATGTCTCAAGCTAAGGCTAAAAATCCTGAGCATAACTTCTTCGCTTGGAAATTGATTTGTGAAAATACTTCCACTATATTTCACTCTTTTAACCTCCAATTACATCCAATTAATCCTATATGATCTTCAATTCTCGTTTTGCGGTCTGAATCATCTATTGGATGTTTACACTTTGGTTCCCAAACTTTGAATTTCCTTCGTTTTCACACTTTTTCATTCATTTCTTCCAAATCAACCAATTTGTATTGAATTTAACTTAACAAACATAATTAATACAAAATTAAGCTATAACTCATCCAAATCACTAACAAATATTCTAATTTAATGACCTAAATATGTGTACAAAATACACTTATCACTTTAAAAAGGTTGTGACGTAGAACGACATGATTTGAATATTTGTTATTAATCTAAATTGGTAGAAGTGATTTCGAAATTCAAATTTTTCTCCAAAACTACCGTCAACTATAATATTCACCCAATATTAGATGGATTCGAAAATCATCATTTTGCAAAGAATTCTAATATATGAAGATTAACATTTAGGCTATGTTTGATAGGATAAGTTTTTCATGGAAGATGGAAAACTTTTTACCATTTTTCACTTTTTAGAGTGTTTGATAGGAAACAATTTTAGGTAATTGGTTTTCCACATTTTCTTGTTGGTGGGAATTGGTTTTCTAGGCAGTTTTTTTTTTTTTTTCCCAACGGAAACAAATTATATTTCCAATTGTAACAAATTATATTATTTTAATGGACAATTTCTATGAAAAATAAAGTCAAACGAACACCAAAAGATTCAAAATTTCAATATTTTTCAGATGAAAAATTATACCAATCAAACACAATTAATTGACAATTTTCAGTAAAACAATTTTTAGGCAATTCAATTCAATTTCATAGAATTCATTTTCTTTTCACCCAAATTCCATTCTTGCAATCAAACGGACCTTTAGATTTGTAGTTAATAGACTTCTCCACGTTTTAAACAATTGGAGAATAGCAAATTGCCATTTTGGAGTATAAAAAGAAGTGATTCTATATCTCTTATCTTTCTTTAAAATTCTATAGATTCAACTTAAATTGAATTTATTTATTTGAAATTTATAATTAAATTTTCAAGAGAGATGCAAGAAAAACAATGACCTAAAATGATGATAAAAGAAATTATCATCTAAATTTACAAGTCCTTGAAATGATATACTCGAAACAACTGATGTTATTTGTCATAAACATTAATCAAATTGCTACAAAATATAATGTAGTGTTTCTATAAGTGTATATATTGAAAGTGAATAGCTAGCATTGAGATAGGGATGACAACAAAGAAATTCCCCGTCCCACCCACCCGCCCCGTTACCTCAGGCGGGGTGGGGTCGGTACAGGATCCTTGCCCCATTAATTTTTTTTTTTTTTTGATAATTTATTTTTACTGTCAATATTCATTAGATTTAGACAAATAATTTTAGTTGTTATTTTATATTAGAACTAATAAAATTTTGTGAAAATTTTCATTTAAAGTATTGAACTCTAAAAAAAAAAATTTAACGGGGCGGGGCGCCCCATACCCGTCCCCGCCCCAGGGCAAAATTCCCTCCCCATCCCTGCCCCGAATACCCCATTAAGCGAGTTATCCCCGCCCAGTTCAGGGCGGGGACTAGCGGGTATCAGATTTTTCGAATTTTTTTGCCATTCCTACCTTGAGAGTTTATGTATAGAGAGGAATGAGACGACAAGTGTCTTCTATTGATTGGTTGATTGATTGGATATTTTTCATATCGAAACTCAAAACATGTCTCGTCATTCAGCTCAGCTTTAGCATAGCCACTTCCTAAGAAAGAAGGCATCTTGTTATTGGCATGCTCTTCTTTTAGCGTGAACATGGATTGAAACACTATCTCCGAGTTGAACACTTTCAAAAAGTTGAGTTAGTTTCTATCAAATTTTATGCCCTTGTCTATGCTAGTTATACTTATGTGCTGGAAAGCCATGATCTTGCAATACTAAGATGGATATTGTTGTAGGGAACGATCGACTCTACCATGTCTAATGGAGAAACCCTAGATTGTGCGACGTTATTGTATAATATAACATGTATTGCAAAGATAGATATTACAACAAAATTAGTTTTTTACGACATTTATTTACAGCTTGAATGAAAGACATGCCGTAAAAATAGACTATTTACAGCATGCCATAAATGATCAATTGTGTCATCTTCGCACATCGTAAAAGTTGAATATTTACGACATACTTTCAAGGCATGCTGTGTTTTTTTTTTTTAATTACTTATTAAGGTATGCCGTAAAAAGTAAGCTAGTGACAAGAAAGAAAAGAAAAGAAAAGATCTAGACTTCTAATCGAAGAAAAATCAAAAGAGAACGTTCGCTATAATGACTAGCTATAAAAAAACGACCCTGCTACATGTACCCTTTGATTTACACGTTGGTTTATCCGGCCCCACCCCCTCCCTCACATGAGGTCGGGTCCCATGCATTTATTGAATGTGGGACCCGACCCCATACGAGGAAGGAGGTGAGTTCGGATAAACCAAAGTGTAAATAAAATTATACAAATAGCTTAATTCAAAAAAAAATGTGCAACTGCCAACAAACATTAGTACAAATATATACTGAACATAGACTTTCTAAGATTTAGCAAACATCATATTCTTAAACTCTTCGAAGTGTTTGTTTGCCATCCCTTACCTCAATCGTTTTTCCTCTCTCTTAATCGATCTTCATCCAATTCTCCTCTCACTGACGCTCCTCCACTGCGGGTATTGACGATTGTGAACTTTCCTGGGTATTGCTATTTTTGTTAAGGTTTGGTGGTTTTCTTTTGGTTGACTTATAATTACTAAATTTATTTTGTTAAATCAAGCGTGGATAATTTCTGAGGA